TATTCAGAAAAGCACTGACGAAGGGTTCCTGTAGTTTAGACGGAATATGGAGCCCCTACGAAGAAAAAATTCGTCAAGCGGGTCTCTGCATCACGGCATTTTCGTCATCTTTGCAACGAACCACATAAGGGTAAAGACTAACGTCTTCGGCGTTAGTCTTCGGGATGCTCTCCCGTATTCGACTCCTATTCAGAATCGTAGTGGTGGTTTGAATGGGTACGCTGCCTTCACAATAACCTCTAGGGGTCAGCTAATGTTCGAGTCAACGCTTTCATCCTCCCAAACGAGTTTGGTACCAATTAGCCGAATTTCAAGGGATTGAACGACTGGTTGGCCTAGTCGGATACCGGTTCGGGGTTCGATCTCCAGACCATGCGTGTGTGATAGTGCGCCAATCACCACTACACCACCTCTGCCCAGTAAATCTCGTACGGTCATAAATTACTGCGATTCTACCAACATTTCCTAAGTTGCAATGATAGAGGAAAGAAAACTGATAGGATGGTCAAGGGCATTCCATATATGGAATGCACAACACTAACTGAAGTGAGATACCTGGGCGGGGCTAGCTCGAAAGGGCGTGGCTTCTCGAATTGGGTTAAGAACAACAAGCTTAGCTTAGCTACATGAAAAGAAGATTTTTTGGATTTCTTTTGATATTTCTTTCATGAGAGTAGAACCCAGAGTGAATGAACGGCTTTTAGATTCAGGCACCAATGAAGGAATTCGAAAAAAAAGCTACGGGACAGCAATAACATTCCGCTAATGGCCTCTAGGGGCCAATGGCCAACTTCCGCCAGTTCGTTAGGTATTCGTCGTAGTCAATTCTATTGATTCGTTTTCCGAAATGAGGTAAACATAGTGGACGGATACGCGTTGACTAATGATGAGCCTTACGGAGCCTGAACAAATAAGCCGGTAGTTGATGAAATCGTAAGGATGTATGTGTGTTCGAGGGAGTGGCTTAGTGTCTGTGGTGGGTTGAGTAGAATATGTAGGTGCAGGAGGGCGTTCACGCGAACCAAAATTGTTTCAGCAGCAGTCATCAGGGGCTACCGATAGCCAAAGTCTCGGGGGAATGCGTGCCAGTAAAGCAGAAGCTGTCACTGAATACCAAACGAGAAGCCATACGATGCATGCCTGTCGGGCTTTGTTCGAGACCAAAGGAAAAAAGAACAACGGACATACTTTACAATGTCAATTCCATCAACTTTTTGTTGTCTACGATTTTAAGGGGTGGTCGAGGAGAATGATGGGCGACGGTTTCTCCACCTTTTCCACTACTTCACTCGACTGGCACCGATCCACAGCAATCAGGATAGGATATACAGAATTATGCCGATGATGAGCCCCTTTGAGGTGCAACCCGACCTCCTTCAGGACAGGGCAATGTTTTGAGAGGTACTGAGCTATTATTTATACCGAAGACCCTTTTTCTCATGACGCCCCGGTCAATTACAACGACCACTTTGAAATGACCACCGATCGATAACCATTTTTACATGCACGTCTCGAAAGGTGGGTGTTTCCGAAAATGTCGTTTTGTAAATAAGTCGATGAATTAGTAAGGACCCTTTTCGACCTTCATGTTTCAGCTTCCTTTACCATTTCCCCTCCTCCCTCTCCCCCCCCCCCCCCCCCNTACGGGCCACGCGGTCGTCAATGGGTTAACTATGCCTTGGATAGCCCTACCCACTCATTTCTTGAAGGAACTTCGAGTTCACTGAGTTCTCCTCGTAATTACCCATAAAGTTCCAGTCATGAATTTTTTTGATCAAGGCTCAGACATAATCTGGGCTTTCAGCTAACATAGGGAAGAAGGCAGAGGGCTACTCATGGAGATTAAAAGATAAGGATCAAGTTTTCGGCGTTGTTCAATCGTATTACTTTTGGAATGAGTCGCGCATTCGGCATCCATTCAGAATAGTAGTTTCGGTTTGAATGCGTATTTGGCCAACACAATGAATTGCGGTTACCACCCGATGTGCATATCAGTGCTCCTGTACTCCCTGACAAGACTGGTACAAATCAACCGACCGGAAAAATACGGAAGGCTTGGTTTGCCAAGGCGGATAGTGATCCGGGATTTGATTCACGGACCATACGGACCCTGCATGTGGTAGTGAGCCATTTGCCACAACACCACTTCCACACTTCGTAATTACAACAATAGATAGCAACGAATTTTCAAAATTGAGATTGAACGGGGCAAAAAAGTGGCCCTCTTACCCAGTGAGACTTGAACAAGTAAATTCTTCCGAAGTTTTTGGTGCGATTTCCTCGTTCCCCATTCGCTTGCTCTGATAGCAGAAGCAGGATCCTAGCCAACTACTTATGCAGGCTTAAAAGAAGAAAGCCAACGTTTTTAGAGGTCCCTTATTGCTAGCGTGCCCCTTGCTTGACGTAAAATCTAAATTCGAGAAAAAGTTACCTAACCCTAAGGGTTTTTTGGGTTGGGAGTGATTGCCTTCATGATTGGCCTATGAAATGTAATAAAACAGAAAGTCGATCGCCACGACCTAATTTTCAACGCACTTAGAATGGGCCATGCCCTTTGCATCTGAGCAGGAATTTACCAAGTTAGTTCGTAGCGTTTAAACGATGACCCTCACAAACTTCCTCTTGATGTTTTATTACAGTATCTATTACTACAGTATACAGAGCAAATAAATAAGCAATAGAAAAAATTCATTAGCCTCTTGATATTGTACAAGAAAATCGGCATTTTCCAGATTAATTTCAGAAATGTCACTGGTTCTTAGGTTGGACTGCAGCGGCACGTAGAACTTGCTCTCGTGGGAAATCTCAACTCAATGCTTCCTGAGTTCCAATAATGTCCCGTAATTCTGAGATGGCACAAAAGAAGCGCCGTCAAGTTAACGTTTAGTTTCCGAAAACTTCCAATGATTCATTCTCAGAATGGAACATTGCACTTAACCAATTTCCTTACCAATTCCAACGCGGAGGAGTAAAAATTAGGTCAAGTTCTACTCAAGACCCACTTCATCCACACCATCTACAAAACGTTGCAGAGTCACTCGTGGTACGGACAGGCCACCCTTTCAAACAAAAGGAGTAAGGTTATTTTTAGAATGTACGAAGACTTTTTAGTATTCCCTATGTTGATATCAACGACCAACCGATGCGATCCACCGGAAGAAGAATGACACTTCTTGAATCGTTTTCTCCATTGGTCAGGATGATGACAATGTCTTGTGTGCTTCGTAGAAAATCGAGTTATTCTCTATCAGATAAAAAACTTCTATAAAAAACGAAAAGCAGCTGTTGCAAAATGCATGGCGCGACTTCACGTCTGCTCCGGAATGAAACCTTAGACCGCATTAGAGCCAGACATTCTTTCCACTTTCTTTTTTTTAGCTATCAAAACCAGGGCATTAACAATGGGTCATATCAGGTACTAAATGATATTCAGTGTGGTGGTAGTTGGCCATTTTGAATTTTTTATTTACTATTTTAACCAATTCCCAGAGGAATTACCAGTTAAATTGATCTTTTTATTTTTTTTTTGCTTTTTTACTTTTTCACTTTTCTTTACTTACCAACCTATTTAATGTCTCAGTTGTTCTCTCCAATATATCTCGATAGTAAATGATTTATCTTCCTGTCGAATTTTTATACCATTTCATTAATTCACCCATCTGTAGGGGTAGAAAAAAATCTGATTAAAAAATTAATAAAAGGCTTTTATAGTCAAAAGACTATTTATCATTATAGTAAATCTACTGGTCCCCCCACCATATAAACAAGGCCCCTCAGAAGACGTGAAAATTGATAGCAGTCGATAATTTACCTTTATGTAACCTCTATCTATTGTACTATAGTCAATGGCTCAGTATCACAAATCCTACAGTAATTTGCAGTCGTACATTACAGTAACTCACCGGAGGCATCGAAGGTGGAGCACCAAAATACGGTACGACGTAGGATTCGGGAAATAATCCAACTTGGCCACGTGAATTACTTCCTTCCATCCAACCACCCTCGATATTCTAAACGATTCAGCACTTCCGATCCCGTGATATTGTTTGGTGAAAAAGGACGACTGTCACAAATAGAAATACAAAAAAATACAAAATAACCAAATCAATATAGGCATTAGTAATAAACTACAAAAGAATACAATAGGTAGAAAAGTTCAAGGTCTGCTGAATTAATGTGTAAATAAACTGTCCCTATTAGGCCTCTAGAACATTGAGAAAGCTAATTTATGTATAACTTCCTTCCAACTTAACTTTACAGCTTCAATTCCACTCAATAGCCTTCCCCGCATACCGGCATGAAGAGGAAGGAGTAGGTGAAGGGTATAGGAAAAGGGCATGAAAAGATTCGCTCTGAAGAGAAAGAGGAATGAAAGGCGCAGCGAAGGAATTCGGCAAAAAGAGAGATTTAGGGATGTAGTAAAGAAGCGAGGAAGGAGGGAAATTGGACAACGCAAACGCAAGCATTTTGCGCTTTTCGAAAATATTTATTATTCATTTTTTTATTTGTTTATTTACTAAGCTGCCATCCAATTTTCGTGCAGAAAAAAAAACTTGCTAAAAGACGTCAGTAAAAAAATTGACATATTATCAGAGACAATCTAACGAAATTGATCGACTTATTTTTGCTACGAAAGGGACTTGCTTTTTAAAAAAATTAAAAGCCAAATTTCTGCCTTCAGTAGCCGGCAAACTCGCAAAAAGTGGTCTGGTGGAGAAGAGTGTGGTTTTGAAGCTTCATCATTGAACTGGTTTGATCGAGTTTAGTCTCTAGAAGAAGTGACTGAAAATTCTGTACATTTCTTCATATACTCTGTCACACTAGCTAGATCTGCTTGAGCCCACGATCAGGATAAAGCATCCTGATCGTGGGCTTAAGCAGAGGTTGGCAAGTTGCCGGGGTGAGATCTAGAGAGCACATGAAATCAGCTGACGGTGGGCGGAGCTTTCTCTGAAATGGGTGGTGCTTCATCAGCCTTCATATTCATGTCCAAGGTAGCTCAACGGTCGAAAGAATGATGTAAATTGGGCATGCTCAGGCTAAGATCAGTAAGGCTGGGCATGAAGCCGTCTCCAACGAACGGAGCGTCTTTCGAGTGAGCATCCTAATACTTACGGTGAATATGACTCTGATAAACGAGGATCAACTGTCGTAGGTCCTGGTTTCTGCCGCTTTTCAATTCACAAAAAACAGTCCCGGCATAATAGAAAAAAAAGTCTGCGGAAAATCACATAAGCAAAAAAAAAATAAAAAAATAATATGAGAAAATAA